TGATTGTCCAGCATTTACTACCATAGAGAAGGATTGATATATAAAATTTCAGTACTCTTTTCTCTATTTCTAATGAAATTTTCTGTTAAAACTCTGTTTAGTTTCTGAAAGGCTCTTTCGCTATCTCAATGCACCTTGGATTTCATTGTCTCACTTTCCACCCTTTGTTACAACAATGCCTGGATATTTTAATTGTATGAATGTTATGTTGAAAGTGGAAAAGAAAAATATTTATCCAAATAAACCAGGCAATAATTTAATTGCTCATATATTTATTTTTTTTAGCTGTCAAATGCTTTCTTTAAAAATGATCTCTTTTTATACTAGACAATATCAAGGTGTAAGAAGCTACTTGTATCATAAAACACTTTAGAACATTGACATTGAAAAGAATTAAAACTCATGGAACTAAATAAAAAAAACTGTTTTATGATGTCTACACTCAGTTAGAAAGTGTAGATCTGAACTCTATTTTGTTTTAATAAGTGACAGTGATTTCCCATCTTGGATCAGCATTCACCAAGAAAATTGTTTTGTGTATGACTATAATATTAAAATATATTTTGACTCCATTTTGAAAATGGCTGACTCAAGAGAATATTTTCTCTCATGACAAATATTTTCTGTTGCAAATTTTTATTAACTCCAGTGATTTTGAAAATATAATTAAAAGATTATTTTTCTATAATTCAAAATAATTTTTTCCTTTAATATTTAAATTGTTCTATTATTATTAACATTGTCAATAACTGAATGTTATTAAATTTTAAATGATTTGATTGTGAAGTTTGTTCTCCTTGTGAAAATATTGTGCAATAATGAAGACTGTAATTTTAAAAATTATGATGCATTGATTCTTTCGAATGTGAGGATTTTTGTCTCTGAAAGTTATTTAGGATAAAAAACCAAGTTGGACGGGTTCAGAACTGAACCTAAGTTGATACAGGCAGACAGCTTTTGAAGAAAGGAAATACAACAACCATTTAAGTTCAATTAATTTACTTCAAAGAAAAAAAGTTGAAAGGAAAAAGCTTATATATGCGTGTTTGCAAACAAAGTGTATTTGCAGACATAGCTTGCTTGAAGATTCGTCCTCATAACTGGTAGGACGGTCAGTCTGTAGCAGTGGTAGTGGACTTCTATGTTACATGCTCGTATCCAGGTTGGGTATCGCACATGTTGATAGTGGCAGCTGCTTCTCTCTGGCCATCTAGGACTCGGGTAAAGGTGGTCCATCATACAGAGTGCAAGACACAGGTCAACAGGTCAAGGCTAAGAGCCAGTGGCAAAAAAAAGTGAATGAAAAAGAGAGTCCAAATTCTGGAAGTCAGACTTAATATAGGGGTATGTCAAGGGTACCACATGACTTCTACAAGGGCACTGGTTGGGCTCTCATTTTGGCTTGCTCCATGTGTCACCATTAAATTCCAATATGAAGCATATTACTTCTCTTTGATGGTTTTCTTATTTGAAAATAGCTTCAAACAAATAAATTATTTATGCCTTAAAGAAGATACATCTTCATCAGATCCTATAGACTGATCCTATGGAAACACAAAGATCTTTACTGATCAACAGAAACCACATCACTTGAACACTTCCAAGAGCAGCAACAACTAAAATGTATGGCCCATGTATCTAAAAGAGAAAATGATGATATAATTAAAATGCTGAACTTCTACACTACCTTAAGCAAAATTTTAAGAAGGAAACTAGAAAGAGTGATAAAATTGACTTGATAATTCTATTTTCCTTTAAAAATGTTTTGAGACAAAAGTTTTATAAATTTCAAGTGACTGCAATATCGAATGCTTCCTGTCTCAAAATAACTAACCTCACTGTTACCATTAATTCAACAGTAAAGTGTCTGGAAGATTTGAGCTGTTGTTGTTCCCAGGGTGGTAGCATCTGTTGATGGTCCAAGCTATGGGCAAATAGTAAAACTCCAAACAAAAATCAACAGTACATTTTTATAATAAACTGACCAACAATACATTTTTAGAGCAAAATAGCAATCAATGCAACACTAAAAAAAATACAAAAATGCATTTTTATAATAAAGTTACTGACTATACATTTTATGATCTACAAGCAATATATCTAAAAAAAAAACATACCTTTTCCTTGAAAGTATAAAATTATGTATAAAATATCTGTAGTTGAAAGCATAAATTTATGTACAAAATATTTAGATTTTGGCATTAAATAACCCATAGAGGCTGATATGCCACTAAACTAAATCAAACAACCATTCTAATAATTCAACTGGTACAGTTTTCATTATATGTTGTCACTAGCTTTCAGTAAATGTTTGTGAACTTGAGACAAGGACTTTAATTTTCTGTCTGAATTTTTGGGATGAGGAGTTATCATTATTTACAGTTGACAATAATTTTAACTGTTTTGCCCTTGAATCTTCTTCACGTTTTTATAAATTCAGGTAAACTTTAGATAATTTGGAACTGAACTCTTTATTTAATTTAAGGGTTATATTCTTCCTATTTTGCTCTCAGTGTCTAAGGAGATTTTAAAAAAATTTTTTTTTTTTATTATTGTTTAGATATTGCTATTTTTTTTTCCAGGGAGTTCAAGTCTGTAGTATCAGGCCTAAGGCATGAACTCATATTTATTATACCACTGAATTCACAAACAAATGTTTTAATCCTCTAGGTTATGTGAGAGTTCTGAAGCTTATCTAGACCTTAAGAAAGCCAGAAGGCAGAGTGGTTGAAATATGAGAGTAACAAAGATGAGGATATTAGTCTGACTAAAATAATGACTTTTATTTTGTTCTAATCTGTAAGATGAATTACTGGCCAATTCTGTAGCCTTGGGTAAGGTTTCCTTCCCAACATTGTTTGGATGGTCAAATCTATTATTTGCATTTTTTAGCTCAGTGTTTCAGCTGGTCTATTCTTCAGCACTTGTCAGGTGTAATCTATGAAAAAAAGAAAATCTCTTAACCACTTTGGTAATACTGGTTATGACATGTGGTTTTGGAAATCTAGTTGAAGATTTCTAGAACCTCTAGTTGATCATGTTACAGCAACTATAGGTCATCATTAATGGTGTGTATTGAAATAAAGTGCCACCCAATTGTGAGTGCATTAAATCAGCCTCAGTTTGCAAGAATGTGAAACTTGCTGACATATTTTGGTGCTTCTGGTATTAAAAAGTTAAATCAGAAATGGTTGGTTTGGCATTGGGTAATAGTCAGCAAACTAGTCTGATTGCTCATTACAACTGAGTAGTAAGTTTGATACTCATTGGACGCCCCATAGTTGTGTCCTTGTACCAAACTAATGTAAACTGACAGAAATTGTTTATTTATGTACTCAGTGGACTAATCTAGTTTCATAATGTGTATACCAAATTCCCAGGTTATTCTAAACTATACCCTTGGGCAAATTAATTGAAACAAAACGAATAATTCCATTATTATTTACTTTTTTTCCTATTTTTCCAATGAAACATAACCCAGTGTACATGTTAGTACTTTGTATGTCCATTCCACGAAGTCGTTCCTTGCAGATTGACAACAGATTATCAATTGGAATTAAATCAGGATAATTTCCGGGTCAGTCTATAGTACTTTGATTTTCTCACTGGTAAGGCTTACCAGTGTGATTGTACAGTGTTACAATTTTTGTGTGCTTCCTTGGAGTAATGTCCATCACAGACAATGGTCATAGGACAACTAACTGACAGTCAAGACAATAGTGTCCAGACATAATAAAAATCTGATGCAATCATGAAGGAGGAAATATTTTTCAAGGCCAAACAAATTTCATGATACACCCCGAAAATAGATTCATATTACTGCACATCATTGCAAATGACCTAATCTGAGGAAAAAATAGAAATCAATTACACCTTGTCACTCCAGTGGGTCTAAAACTGACCGTATGGTGAAAGAAAGGAAACTAAAGTAGTTGTTCCAATTAATTTGAACAAGGGTGTGCATCAGTGGGAGAGGATCTCCATAACACCAACTTTAGTAAGCAAAGAAAGCAATATTGTTGAAATCTGTACTATCCTGACATTTGCAGGCTGATATATGCTATCTCTTTTAGTTTCCTTACTTCCTAGTGATATTGCCTATTGGTTCTGAGATAGAATGTTTCCTTTATTTTTCATGGATCATGCTTGATAAATGCATAATTCAGAATAATATCCTTGCGCATATTTCATTGCTTCCTTTGTTTTTGCTTTGAATTGTCAGCTTTTTATAGTTTGTGTGTCTGTGCTTCTGTAAAGCACACAGGATTCCTGTGAGTGTTCATCACTATTATTATTATTATTATTATTATTATTATTATAGTAATCTATAAATTGGTTTTGTCCCAAGCAACATTAAGTCAGCTTTCTAGAAGCCAGTACGAGTATAATGGCCCAATTAAATTGCTATGTGGTGTAGAAAAAGATTAAGTAGGGAGGCAGTTTCTAGAGAACAGTCAGAGGCAATGTGGTAATGCTTTTGAGATCAGAAATGACCAATATTTATTTGTTGATAAATATAAATTGAAAATGTTACAAATAAATTCATGATTTATGAGTTGTCTGAATAATGTCTGATAATTGCTCCTGATATCATTTCGGAAAAACCAAATATCAAAGTAGTTTTTTTAAAAACTCCCATTGGTCCCATTTATTTGATGCAGAATGTCAAGTTTGTTGCCATTAAGTGCAGTATTCTTTTCATGAATTCACTATTTCTTGTTTTTATCTTTTTAGACAGATATATATTTCAAATTAATTTTTAAAATGTCCAATGTATTTGTTAGGAAAACAAAGAAGTAACACTAAAGAAAGATAGTTATTATGGATGTATTAGTAGTAAAGATGAAAATACGACAGTCATAACAAAAGCTTTCTTTAGTAAGTTTTATCCTTATTGGGAACTCAATCTATTTTTTGTTCTATTGGTATTTTTTTAATTATAATTTTTTTGTGTTGCCTTATAATTTTTGTTGTTGTTTGGTGATAATGTATCAAAAAGATCAAAAAGAAAGAAGGGAAGAATGGAAAAAGGTAAGAGGGAGTGGTAGAAAGAAGAAGAGAGTAGGAGAAAAAAGGGTAATGGGGAGTAATAAAATGAGGAGAGAGTAAGAAAAAAAGTGTAAGGAGGAGTGGTATAAAGAAGAGAGTAAGAGAAAAACATGTAAGGGAGTAGTGGTAGAAAGAAGAGGAGAGTAGAAAAGATATATGTAAGGGGAAGTGGTGAGAAGGAGGAGTGGGTAAAAGGGGAAGAAGGGGATGGTGAAAAAGAAAGAGTAAGAGAAAAAGTGTAAGGGGGAGTGGTACAAAGAAGAGAGTAGGAGGAAAACATGTAAAGTAGTGGTAGAAAGAAGAGGAAAGTAGAAAAGATATATGTAAGGGGAAGTGGTGAGAAGGAGGAGTGGGTAAAGGGGGAAGAAAGGAATGGCGGAAAGGAAAGAGTAAGAGAATAAAGTGTAAGGGGGAGTGGTATAAAGAAGTGAATAGGAGGAAAACGTGTAAGGGGGTGGTGGTAGAAAGAAGAGGAAAGTAAGAAGGATATATGTAAGGGGAAGTGGTGGGAAGGGGGAGTGGGTAAAAGAGGAAGAAGGGAATGGTGGAAAGAACAACATTTGTGTGCAGTGGGGGGAATAATTAAAGATTGATTTCTAAATCATATTTCACAGGAAGCAAATAAATTTGGCTAATATGTGTGTGAATTTCATGCTTAGGCAATCATGTATCTTTCAATACATGACCATCAAGGCAGATTTTTTTCCCACAGTAGGTTACCATTTCTTTCTGCAGTAAACCAGTTGCCAACCAAGGCTATAGAACATGGTCTGTCCTGCTATTTATCCATAGCTGGGGGGAGAAGAAGAGGATTCATACTTTTCCCAAGGGCATTAGCGCATAAGTGAATGTTATGGATTTGAGTAGAATTTGAATTCAGCTCTCCAATTCCTCAATCTGAGTTGCTATCCATTGCACCAATGTGCCTCATATTCATACTGGCTTTAAATATTAAAACTTTTTATTAGAGATGTGACAAAAATGTCTAGGTAATTAGAAAAGTGCTATCCAGTATTGACTTGTGTGAACAGTATTTTTTGTGCACCACTGTGTAAATAGCAGGCAAGAAACTAGAAGTAGGCAGATGTTAGGATAAGTAATTTATTTTAATAGTCAAATTCCCAGAATGTCGGAGTACCACATCAAACATGCTGCTAAATTTAGTATGTATTCATGGGAGATATTGGTTTCTTGTCAGCACATGCAGACTAACTTATGTCATTCATAGAGATTTTATGGATTGAGAATGTTTGATATTCTAGTTTTCCTGTTGTTGTAGATTTTTTTTTTTTTGATAATTGTTGTTCTTGAAAGAGTTTAACATTGTTGAGGTGAGCATTGGGCAAAGGTAATTTAATAGGTAGCAATTACCCATTTCTCACCAGACAACCTGATTTCTTCACATTGTGTGTGATACTGGGGAATGTTATTTGAGATAGCTCCCCAAATATTTTCATTACAGATTACTTTCATGTGCTAAATCCTTTCAAGATGTAAGCAATCATGACTCTTCACAACTTCCTGTAATTTGTTGCTTTAAGTAGGTTTTTATGCTTAACTATTTCTTTGTATGTTCTGCCATCTGTTCACAGAAAGTCATTAAGTAGATTACTCACTATTTCACCATGGTTCTCTTGCTATTTTTTTTTTAATCACTTCACCCAAGCAAAACAATAAAGCTACTAAGATGCAAGAGGTTACTGAGTATGAAAGAATATGAGAAAAAGAAAAGATTATTAAAGGCAAGAGCTCAATAAAGAAATAGGAATTAAGAAAATGGAAAATAATTGTTAACTTTGCATTTAAATAGTTGAAGAACAAAGTTTGGCTGGAAATATTTTTTTAAGCATTTCACCTCAAGCAAGGTAGGAGTGCCACTAGTACACAAGGGGTTACAGAGAGTGAGAGCAAGAGTAAAGAGGAGTGTTAGAGGAAGGGATATAAAAAAGGATGGGATTCAGGATCAAAGCATCAGATGTCAATTGACATTACATTTAAATATTTGAAGATTATAGCTATCAGGGAAGCAAGTAAGAAGAATAGAGTTCCACTGGCAGGAAGTGTGAGAGAAAAAGCTGTTGGAGTAGAGCAGGTGGTTACTTTTAACTGTTCTGACAGTGGGACCATGATACGAACCTAGTAGCATGCTTAAATTCATGTAGATGGGGCACCAGTGAAAGTAGCTTGTCAGAGCAGTTGTCATGAAAATATTTTTAGAAAAGACAGTGGGAAGGCACATCATGTTTGTGAGAAAGTGACTGTAGAGGAGATGCCAGATCAGAACCTATCATATTGCAAATCAAGAAACTGAAAAAACAGTTAGTGTAGACGTTACAGTTACATCTAGCTGTAAAATGAGACCTTGCCACCAATCTAGTACTGAACTTAAATTTATAAAGTCTATCTAGCAAAGAAGAATGCTCATGAGAACAATTACCATGAAAATATTTATAGAAAAGGTACAGAGAAGCTATGTTAATGCAGTGGGAAAGTGACTGATATCAGGTCAGGATTAACCTTTACCACATTACGTTCTTTCTAGAATTGTTCCCCTTGCCACTGCATTTTTTTGAGGGTCCAAAAATATGAACACCTACTGTTTTAAAATTGTTATAACTTTCTTAGTATTGTGTGTATAGATTTTAATTTTTGTACACTAATAAAAGAATGAAGGAGTAGCATGGTTATCATCTTCGACCACTTCACTGTCAATATCTACTCAAGTAAAGCCTTCAAAATCATCATCGGAGTCCTAATCAAAGAAAAACTCCTGAATAAAGGCTTTGTTCCTTTGTTGGATTTTGATGCGGCAATTTTTGTTTACAAAAAAATTGCGAAAAATTAAAGTGGGTTTAATCAGTGCTACACCTTGTGTAGAGTCTAGAAGAATTCAAAATGGCATTTGAAAATGGAAGTTTAGCCTTGTTCCAAAGCAGTACTAGGTGATTTCCAGCTTAAATACTGGAAATAACAGTAGACAAGTGTTTATTTATAGCAACTCTCTCAAGGCAACAGAATGTTCCTAGACTAGCAAAGGGAGAAAATTCTATGGTGACAATTGTCACTTGCAGCATAGTAAAGGTTAATAAAAATGCAGATTCTTTATATTTTATTAAGAATCTCTAAATACATTGCAGAAGCTGTGATGCCAGGCCAGAACTAATAATATTGCATATTATTCATTGTATTTTATCAAGAATCTCTAAATACATAGCAGATCAACATTTAGGTTGGTTTGAATTCATTTTTTTTTTGGAGGATATAGGGTCCAGGCTGCCCTACTATTTACCCATAACTGGAGTGGGGAGAAGCGAGGGATTCCTATTTTTCTCAAAGGTATTTGTGCATAAGTGAATGGGATGAACTCGACTGGAATTCAAACATGACTCTCTAATTTCTCATTCCAAGCTGCTATCAATTATAGCACTGTACATCCCTATCTGAACCCCCCCACACATACACAAGGTCTGTCTGAAAAGTAACAGGCGATATCTGTTCTTTGATGTGAGAAGCATCATTCACACAGAGTTCTTGCAACAGGCCAGATGATCAATCAGTAAATCTACAAAGATAACCTGTGGCATTTACTTTGCTCAGTGTCCATATAGAGATGAGAGTTGTAGCAGGACAAATTGTGGCTACTTCACCACGACAATGCATGTGCTCATAATGCCCTGAGCATCTGGCAGTTTTTGGCCAAGAAAAATATCACCATACTGGAACAACAAATAGGGATTCACCTGATCTTACATTCTGTGACTTTTTTCTTTTACCCAAGTTCAAGGGGACCATTAAGGGAACCTGTTTTGAAAGGCTATCAAGGGGGCTGTAATGATGGAAGTGAGTGTCATCCAAGAAGAATCCTTACAGCAGTACATAGAAGCATGGCAGAAAAGGATGAAAAAGTGCAATAGACTTGAGGGAGGTTTATATCGGTTGCTATGTTTTTCACACCCACATACACTGCAAGTCATTTTATTCACCTGCGATTGGCTAATAAATTACTACTACCTTTGTATAGAATCATCGCATTAGTCATCGCAGTCATTCCTTTAAATCTTTTGGTTCTGAGCATACTTACCTATTCTGTTTAGTACGTGTGTAGTGATTGGTTAATTTTTAACCAATCACATATTTTTAATGTAAGATCAAGTTTTCCTGTGGTTCTATGGGAGCCTACCTCTTTTCCTTAAATAGGGAGACTTTTGCAAGTTGACAGTAAGATCCAGTAAGAATTTCGTAACTACAAACTTACATTTTTCCTCTATAACTTTTGCCAATCACAATCAACCAGAACTTTGTTGATTCAAACCTGTTTATTCACAACACATTTCAAGCAATTGTGGTGTTATTCATTCTTATATGCAAACTTTGCTCTAACAATTATTTCGGAACATTTATCTCACAAGAGAACTTTCTTCAAACAGTTGATTACAATCAATCTACAGTCAAAGGGAAACAACTTCCTTCTCTTTAATCTACATTGTGAATACAAAATTATTTCATGCTTGTTGTTGTATTTTATTCAATATATTTGTTGGTTAACAAATTGGAGTTGATGTTATTATTTCTTGAATCCTGTACATGGAAGAATCATTAATATAAATAGTAGTAGTACCTATATATTTGGTGTTCCTGTGACATTTAGTGAATCGACCCGACGCTATATTTGGTACATATGCTACAGATTAGTTTGAAGGGGAAACAATGTAGTTTGTTATTGGGAACTGAAATAAATTGTGAAACTAGTCCCATTACTTTTCAGACAGACCTTGTATATATATATATATATATATATATATATATATATATATATATATTTACTAGCTTAAAAGCTGCCCAATAAGATGGCATTTAAGCAAACTTCTGTGGAGGGCTCTTGATTGGGCCTTCATAGGGAGGCATAGATGTGATAGGCAACAATAAATTACAGAAGAACTCTAAATTGATCGCTGCATTTAAGTATTGCATTGATATATAAGCTTAGCTTTTAAAAGTTCAATGATAATTCTTCTGGTGCCACTTCATTTATAGACAGTTTGATGTATGTAGGTCCTTACTTTCTGGAAAAACAATTATTTTTATTTCATGGGTGATTTTTGCTGGATTCACAATTAATTTTGATTATTTCCAAATTCACAATTAATTTTTGATTATTCCCAAATTTATTTCCAAGTTTTAAAAATCGTTATCGTACAAAAAAATTTGTTGCCAAAAATCATGTCAAAAATTGCTGAAAACAATTACAGTAATGAAAACATGTGAATCCAAAAATTTCAGGATTATGGGTTCAGATCTGGCCTGGAATATTTTTAATTTGCTCACAGAGTTGGTCTGATTCCAAAATGGTGTAATATGTTGGGCTACAGGCTCTAAAGTTGAAAAAGTGTGACACATTGACATGCGCATTTATTATAAACATACATGTATATATGATTGCATTGATGATTGCATTAAGCATGAAACCCCAAGCTGCACTATTGGTGTGGAGTATTATATATATTTATTAATATATATGTAATAGCTCTGTTATTTAGCATTGAGTACTGTTTTTCTTACA